TCTTTAAATATTCAGAGATGTCTGGGGACGTCCAGAGAGATGCGCAGAGAACCCACATTGGCTCCCACTGCCGCCCGTATGTTTACACCACGTTCAAATCAAGTTTCCACACCACGTGTTACAGAATCACTTGTGAGTTTCCACTGATGATGATGATGAAGCGACATCAGCTGTGAGTTCTGAGTGGTTTGAGGAGCGAGACAGAAAACCGTGTGGATATTGATCATGACAATGATTACACAACAAGTGCATAGCCACTGATGGATCAAATTGATGTCGCAAAACCACTTCCAATATTCACACAAAGACAAAGGCACCCACCCAACCCCGTGTAGTCTACACCGGCTGTTGGGGCAAGTACTGTTAGCGAGCATGGATGGTGACGAGCACTACCCCCGCCTGTGTCCCGGTAGTGATACTCTTATACATTGCAAGAGGTTACGCATTTAAAGCCGAGTCGACCTAGAGGAGGCCCAGGACCGGCTCAAACATTCGCCGCTGCTATTGGGCGTGAGCGGGAATGGAAGTCGGGGCCGGCCAGCTCGTAGCGCGATGTGCCAACCACTACACCGCCGCTCCCCACAACAAAGATCCCCCGTGTAGTCTTCAACAGACTGTTGAGGCAAGTGCTGTTAGCGAGCGCCTATGAAGGCCCGCAATGGCCCACAAGGGGGTGGGTGGCCAACATTTACGCCCGGCCGCCTTTGTCTCCCCAGTGGGATGTTTACACATCACACCAGGTTCTCGTTTGAGGCCGAGTCGACCTAGGGGAGGCGCAGGACGGGTTCAGATAATGTTGATCGGGCGTCGGCGGTAAGCGGGAATCGAACTCGGGTCTCTGCCGCGTTCGTAGCGCAACGCGCTCACCGCTGCGCCACCGCTCCCCGCAACACGCACAGACAAAGTTACGCAGAAGCTCCTCTCTGTCCGCTGACAACAACAACAACACAACTCGTTGTCGCTCTTTACATTTTTTTGCTCTAATAATGTTTATTGCTTGAAAAGTCGAGCAGAAGTTTGCCCGTGTGGCGCAAATCACGGAGAGACATTTTGCACGCGCGCGTGAACACGCTCGATGACAACATTGAGAACTTTTTTTTTGACGCCTCCTACTTTTTTACCACACCCCCACCACCCTCCCCATCTATAATTGATGGTGCAAACTCCCGTGCTGATGTGATTCAAATATATTTTAATAGCGTTTGCAAAACTAGTATGGCAGCATCATGCATCCTAACACGAAGCGGAAAGAGCGCCTTTGTCTTCCTTTGCCGTTCAATAATAGTAATAATGTAATTCATCAACCCAGGAATGGCTTTCACGGAGTTGCAAAGCTCCGTTTCTTTTTCAGAAGGGTCCCGCTACATTGGGACTTTTGTTTTTTTGTTGCGAAAACCAATCACGAGATTGTGGCTTCCCAGTGGCAGGAAACCGGAGTACCTTGAGAAAACCCATCACGCATACACGATGTGGGGGGGGGGGGGGGGGGGTAGCACTCCAGCTCGCCACACAGACGGGTTCGTGATCCCCACGCGTGCCGTCACAGCTCCCCTCTCTCTCCTCTTGGTCACCTCACAACCCAAGTGTGTTTACAACTCACCTGGACTGCGACCCTTCATTCTTACCGGGAGGTCGCTCCTTCTCGGTTTCTGCTCCCGCTGTCGAGAATTATCTTCCACTTGAGCTCCGGTGCGGTTGAGACTCTGATGCTGCTGCTGCCGCCCTTGTTCAAGCCAAGACCTAAGGACCCAGTTGAACACGTCGGCTTTCGCGACCAACATTCAAAATAAAAATGTTTTGGGTCAGATCGCGTAAGCATAAATGTGTTGTAACCCTCCGCCACCCGACACAGCCAATTTGTAAGGGATTTGTCACGAAAACAAAACGCCAATTAGTTACTGCTTCAGCCCACCGGCGTGTTGGAGAGGAAATCCACAACATTTACAATTTGAGTACGAATTTTTTGCCATGGCACATCGCCCGATGATGCTGGACGTAATTACCTAGCGAAACGTCGTACTATTCAAATTACAAATGTTGTGGATTTACTCTCCAACACACCGGTGGGATTAAGTAGTAAACTAATTGGCGTTTTGTTTACGCAACAAATCTCTTACTAATTGGCTGTGTCGGGTGGTGGAGGGTTACGACACATTTATACTTACGCGATCTAACCCAAAAACCTTCATTATGGACCGAAGGACCCATTTTGCTTCCATGTGCTGATGGCTCCAAGTCTTCTTTCGTGCCCGTTACTCTGTCCATATCCACATCTTTTTTATTTTAGTTTCCTGCCTTACGGTGTGTGTGTTTGTTTATTTTGTTTGTGTTGCGAAGCGTCTGGAGATGCGGCTGTCACTTTACGCGCTCTGTAAATTGGCAATTCGCATTGCGCCGACGTTTCACTTCGCTGACACTCCACCAGCAGTGGACTGCTGGTAGAGCATCGGAATGCAGTGGGGGGCCTCCCCCCCCCCGTTCAATTCTCCCTACCCCCCGCCTCGTCGTAGCTCGGCGGCTGAGGTCACTCGACCCACTGGCCACGCAGTGCAGTTGCACCGCCTGCGCACTCGCTAGCTACGCTGCGATCCACCGCAGGTCGCCAACAACAACAAAAATCCCAATCACGGGAGTTAAGTCACGGAGCAAATTCAATGTTCAGTTGTCTCCCCCCACTCCCCTCCCCACCACCACCCTCCTACCCCAGAACGCGAGTCGCTAAGCGAGTGGTTTTTGAAAGCCACGTCAACGTGCCACCCCTCAATCGAGCTCGGGGTGTTGGTCATCATCCACCCATCACCATCCATGGTCCTCCATGGCGCCAGGGGTGGAAATTGCGCAACCCCAACGTGTAAGTTGTATCGCCTCTCCATAGGGGCGGGGGGAGCGGCAGTCACCGCAGACTTTCCACAAAGCGCTGCTTATTTTATCCACCGCAGATGGATGAAAATTATGACGACGACGATGATGATGATGACACTCCACGTGGCCTTAACGTGCACATAGCCCAGCACAAGCGCCGTGGTGACGTCACCGCCACTCCGTGGCGAACGGCTGTCGTTGTTGTTGTTGTTGACGATGATGACGGTCGTGGCGATCGCTGTGATGATCAGCGGCGTAGCCATCAAGTGGGTGTCCGTGCAGCCGCACCGCGCGCTCCGCGCCTCCACGAGAATCGCCGACACGTGCCGCGGTGGATGACGACTCGAAGTGCGAGAGAACCCCCCCCAGCCCCCCCACTGACTCCCCCCACCCCCTTCGCCCACATCCCCCCCCCGCAGCGCGCACGTGTTTAATTATTGAATAAAGGATGAGGAGGACAGAGAAGGACCGGGCCAGGATGAAGCAGACAAAAGGCCAAATCGAATGTGCGGCAGGCAGGCCAGGAATCTACCCAGTGCCGGATTATCCTCGTAGCAATAGTCGCTACATGTGTAGTAGCCACATATGTGGCTATTACATACAGTATGTAGTAGCTACATATGTAGTAGCTACATATGTAGTAGCTACATATGTAGTAGCTACATATGTAGTAGCCACATATGTGGCTATTACATACAGTATGTAGTAGCTACATATGTAGTAGCCACGGGCCCCGCACTTTCAAGGGACCCGCGCTAAATGCTTTCAAGCTATAATTTCCGGTTCGGTGATTCTGCACTTGCTCTATTACTATAGTACTATACTGCCTTCAACTTTTATGAACGACTGGGTATTTAAGGTTAGCGATTTGTCGTATTATATGGCTGTATAGCAAATTAAAAAAATACAATTACTTTACTGTGCAAGTAAAAAAGTATGTTAATATTAAAGTGTTTATTTTAATTTTTATTTAGGGCCCCTTTATAACATATGCTACAGGCCCCGCACTAGCTTAATCCGGCACTGAATCGGCGTCAGAGCGTTTGGACCACCTCGCCACCACAGTTTATCCATTCTCCTACCGCTGACTTTCTTACCAAGGGCATGGCCCAGTTTTGTTTCATTCCCTGAGGTACTGGGGTACAGAAACCTCCAAGGAGACATCCTCAATGGGCAGGGAAATGGAGGGCAACACAGCAAAGAGCCTCGGGGTTGTGGTGAGCGTGCGTGCGTCTCTGTGCATCTGTGTGTGTCTCTATGTCACCGTGTGTGTCTCTATGTCACCGTGTGTGTCTCTATATCCACGTGTGTGTATCTGTGTCACCGTGTGTGTCTCTGTGTCACCGTGTGTGTCTCTGTGCATCTGTGTGTGAATCTATGTCACCGTGTGTGTCTCTATGTCACCGTGTGTGTCTCTATGTCCACGTGTGTGTCTCTGTGTCACCGTGTGTGTCTCTATGTCCCCGTGTGTGTCTCTATGTCACCGTGTGTGTGTCTATGTCCACGCGTGTCCCTGTGTCACCGTGTGTGTGTCAATGTCCACGTGTGTGTCCCTATGTCACCGTATGTTTCTATGTCCACGTGTGTGTCTCTGTGTCACCGTGTGTGTGTCAATGTCCACGTGTGTGTGTCTATGTCACCGTGTGTGTCCATGTCACTGTGTGTCTTTCTATCACCGTGTGTGTGTCTATGTCCACGTGTGTCTCTATGTCCACGTGTATGTTTGATTCCCGCTCACAGGCAACATCGGCGACGCATAACTGAACCGATACTGGTCCTCCGCTAGGTCGACTCAGCCTTAAAACAAGTACGCAGTGCGGTGTGTCAACATCAGCGTTGGGGAGACAACGGGGCCGGCCATGGTGCTGGCCACCCACCCCTTTATGTGCCGTTCCGGCCTTAATAGATGCTCGCTAACAGCACTAAACAGGGGAATTCTGTGTCACAGCGTGTGCTGTCGTGGGTAGAAGTCGGGGTAGCAGGAGCAGAGGCGGGGGGGAGGGGAGTGGGGGTGCCTCATTGAGAGGGGGTCCCGTGGGTCATGTGACCCTGTCTGAAGGCAGCGCCCCCCACTTTCTCTATCCAAAGGGGGGGGGGGGCGGGGAGGGGAGGGTGGCGGGTAGATTACACGCGGGGCTTCAGGGGCTAAATTTCACTGCGAAAAGACCGGAATGTCAACGAGCTCAGTCTCACGTTGAGGCGGGAGCGGGCTGCCCTGGGACGCAAGCAGGTAGCGAGCCCTGCCAAGTCTACTCGAGTGCACACACACACACGCACACACACACACAGGCACACACACGCGTCTGTACGTGCGCGCGTGTACGCGTGTGTCTGCGAGCGGTGGGGCGGAGAGTCTGTGTGTTGGAGTGTGTGTGTGCGGAGCGCTAGGGTGCTCGCTAACAGCACTTGCCCCAACAGTCTGTGGAGGCTATAGGGGGGAATCTTTGTCTTTGATGAGCGGTAGTGTAGCGGTCAATGCGCTGCGCTACACGGAACCCGGCCAACAGAGTTCGACTCCTGCTCACGGCAAACACCAGCGCACGATTGTCTGAATCGATCCTGGAACTCCCCTAGGTCGACTCAGCCTCAAATTAGTACAAAGGCGGATCGAGCATGGAGCTGGCTATCATCGGTGTTCGCTAACAGCACTTGCTCCAACAGTCTGATAAAGGCTATAGAGGGAATCTCTGTCTTTTGGAGTGAGTGTGTGTGTGCGTGAATCTTTGAAACGGTATTAGTCCTGCCCCTTGATCGCCTCGATGTGCATGGTGCGGTGTGTATAAAACATCGCCACTGGGGAGACAAAGGCGGCCGGGCGTGATGTTGGCCACCCACTCCCTCGTACTCCGTTCAGGCACTTAAACATGTGCTCGCATGACCGGTTCAGATATTATCACCGTTAGCCTCGGCCGCGTGTCAAACTCATGCCTCCAGACTCGCATTGCAGTGCGCTGACCAGGGCGCCACCGCCACGTAAATCTGATGTGGAATGTTCTTCCACTTACTGGTTACAAATACAACTTGCTATCGGGCAACGGCCCTCCTTCATAGCTAGCGCGTACATTAAAAAACGTATGTTATAGGCGACGTTTCGGGCAAATGGTCCTTCTTCAAAGACAAAAAATTTACCCGTAAAAACAAAGTTTTTCACTATAAATCCTTTATATGCGTGGCGGCTAGAGACCTCTCGTCCTCTGGCTTGAGATGGCTGCCACCTATGGGTCAGATGATTGCCTGCCACCATTAAGCAATTGGTAATTAAATATCGTTTTTTTTTCCTAAAAAGTGTAAAATTTTGGAAAAAAAATTTCACGAAAATTAATTGTCACGCACAACGAGTACTTGTGGAAAATGTCAGCTCGATTGGATCAGGGAAGTGGGTTAAAAAACGACCGAAAGATGTGCACGGTCGTAAGCGCGCAAGCAAGCAAGCAAGTGAACTTAATATAAAGGATTAAAAAATCAGCCATGTTGGTTGTGCTTGTGCACCACTGCCAACGCAGTAACAGCAGCAGCGTGACCACCGGCGATTGTGCCCGATAGTTCTGGTTCAGAACTCGACTGTAGGTCACACGGACGTTAGCCGTCGCACGGGAATCGAACTGGCTCGTAGCGCAGTGCCCTCATCACTGCGCCTCCGTTCTACTTTGCACGTGATGATTTATATCTCGAGCGTGCGCGTTACTTGACTCGGTTCTTCTTCTCGCTCCGAAACGAAGCGACGCGCGGACCAAGCGTCGTGACTTTGCAGAATTCGCACAAAGGGCTCGCCTGTGGGTTACCTGGCGTCTCGTCCCCTCGTCGGCGAGACGGCTGCCCAACTTGCACCACCACCCCCCACCACTCTTCCTCTTCTCTCAACCCCCCCCCACTCCCATCCTCGCCATCCCGTGCCCTTCCCTCCTCCCCCCCCATTCTTTCTTAATCCGCACTCCCATCCTCCACCACCCTGCCCCCCCCCCCACTTCTCATCCTTTCTCAACCCCTACTCCCATCCTCGCCATATCTTGCCCTTCCTACAATCCTTCTTAGCCTCCACTCCCATCCTCACCATCTCTTGCCCTCCCTCCAATCCTTCTCAAGCCCTACTCCCATCCTCATCATCCCTTCCCCCTCACCAATCCTGACAGAACTCTTACCATTTCTGGATATTCTGCTCGGACGGGGTCGAAATGCTAAAATAAAACACAGTGTTTACCGAAAGAAAACGCCTACTGACGCCCATCTCAATGCAGAGTCACACCATCACCCAGCACAGAAATCTGTTCTTATAAAGACGCTCATTCATTGAGCTAAGAAAGTGTCAGATGGTGACAGTCTGAGAAGCGAAATTCAACATGTTAAAGAAGCGCCGCAAATCAACGGTTACAATGATGCACAAATCAACAGGGCATTGAATTCCAAAACCAAATCAAATAACACGAGCATTGAAACTGCCCACGTAATTAAAACGACCAAAATACCGTACATTGCGGGAGTAACTGATAAACTAGCCAGATGTTTCGAAGAACAAAATATCCGAGTCAGATTTGGCACGGTACATAAAATACAGAAATTAATATATTGCACGAAAGATGTATTACCGAAGCTATCAACAGAAGGTGTGTACAAGATTCACTGCACGTGTGGTAAATGTTATTTGGGCAAACAGGACGAGACTAAAAGAACATCAGAGAAATATTAAATTATCCCAAATACAACTGTCAGCAGTAGCAGAACACGCGTGCCAACAAGGGCACTCAATTGATTTTGATAATGTTGAAGTTACGTGCAAAACTAGCTATTACTGGCCAAGACTAATTAGAGAATCTATCGAAATTGAAAGAAATAACAATAATTGTAACTGTTCGGATAGCTACCGCCTTAGTGCTGCGTTGAAGCAAATCATAAAATAATACATTGTTTAAATGAATGCCTATAAAGGGCAGCGTACTTCAATAGGGATTACCGTTGGTACGGCTATTTTAATACACACAATAGACAGGAAGGACAAGATCAAAGGGCTCGCATAATGCACATGCATCATGTGCGTTGACTCATTAACCCCCCCCCCCCCACTTTGTGCAAGAGCGCAGAAGCGTGGTCACCACATCTACGCCTCTATATAAGGAACGAAACAGGTGGACTTCGTCACAAATCTGGCTGTCGCCTGATGAAGCTAGTTGTAATTACTGGTGAAACGTCGTACTCAGATTGTTAATGTTGTGGCTTGGCTCTCCAACACACCGGTGTGCTGTACTAGTACACTACACTATACACTACACTATACACTACAATATACACTACACTATACACTAGTGCTCTACTAGTATACTACACTATACACTAGTGCTGTACTAGTACACTACACTATACACTACACTACACACTACATTATACACTAGTGCTGTACTAGTACACTACACTATACACTACACACTGGTGCTGTACTAGTGACGAATTGGCCACGTTCTGTTTACGTGACAACCCTTACTAGTTGGCTGTGTCGGGTGGTGGGCGGGTTTAACGACACTTTATATATTTACGCGATATAACCCAAAAAAAACCTCTATTATTAATCATTTCTTTACTCTCATCATCACCCCGACATTGCAGCTTCCCCCCAAACGCCCCTTCCCCCCTCCCCCCTCCTTCCCACGAAACACAAAAAAACACTCGCAACCTCCCACCACCACCACCGCCATCTCTCCTCTTCCTCCCACCATCACCATCGCCTCATCCCTCCTCCCACCACCACCACCGTCTCCATCCATCCTCCCACCACCACAACCACCTCCATCCATCCTCCCACTACCACAACCACCTCCATCCATCCTCCCACCACCACCACCACCACCAACTCCATCCCTCCTCTTCCTCCCACCACCGCCGCCGCCGCCTCTGAGCCCACGGTTTTACAGGAATCGCTGTGTTTGGTTAACCTGCTCTTCACGGCCAGCCCCGAGGAGCTGGCCAAGATGCTGAGTCGGCGCTGGGCAATGGCAGCAACGCCGACCGCGGACTCTGCCCCCCCGTGCGGGTTTGACGGCGAGTGGCGCACTGGACTCCCACTCCAGGGGTCGTCGATTTGATTTGTACTCCCAGCGCGCACGTTGAAACAATGTTGCAAGTTTCGATTTAAAGCTTTCGTGACTGCAGGGATTCATCTTCTTGGTTCTTTCGGTAAAGTCACGTAGAAGGAAAATAATAAAATAATAAAAATAAAGCATATAAAATAATTATCACGACGTTTCGGCCACAACGCAAGCAGTCGTCTTCAGGTGGAGAACAGGTCTGTCAAGTAGACATAATCTGACAGACCTGTTCTCCACCTGACGACGGCTGCTTGCGTTGTGGCCGAAACGTCGTGAGAATTATTTGATTATGTTTTATTTTTATTCTTTTATTATTTTCCTTCTACGTGACTTTACCGAAATAACCAAGAAGAAAAATGTTGCAAGTTTTCCTATCTACCCCTCCCCCCCCCCCAAATCATTAAACCCCCCCCCCTCCCCGCCTCTACCACCCCCACCCAACTCCCCACGGCCTGTACCCACCGACCGGTTCTGTCCCAATGAGCGACTGCACAACAGTCGGATCGGCAGGTCACGCGCGGTGGGGTGAGGTGTGGGCAGCTCCCACCTCTTCCAATAACGTGTGGCGAGCGAGCGAGCGAGAGTTAGTCCGGCAACACGCTCGAGATGGAGCTGAGAGAGAGAGCTCCGTCTCTTGGTGGCCACTCCCCCAGCAGTGGCGTGAGCCGAGACAATTGCAGGGCTGCGCCTTTACCTTTGCCTCTTACCTCCCCCCCTCCCTCCTACATGCACGTGTACACGTACAGCCCCTTTGTCAATCCACTGCTGGATGAGCCCTCCCCCCGTGCCGTGCGGGTCCCGTAGGGGATATTTAACCATACTTAACCCCCACCCCTCTGACAACGTAGCTCTGCAGCAGCCTATAACACGTGCTGCACACATTGTTGTACCGTACACCCTAAGCTCCCACCAGGTCTACGCTCCCCGCCAGCACGTAAACCGATGAACGTCGCCGTCAAACCAGAGTGGTGAAGTATGGTCAGGAGACCCCTCATCACACCGCCCCCGCCCCCCTATTCAGATGCAGTTGTGATGCTGACTGACACCAGCGGGAAAGAAGTCGTGTCTCCCATCCATATATCCTGTGACCACCACGTTGCATGTACCGTAGAAGGCTGCCACGGCTTTGTCCAGACCACCAGTTACACGGGGCTGAAAGCGTTGCCGTAATGTCGTTTAGACAATAAGGCAACGTGGTGGTCACACGGGTAGCACGGTTGGCTACGTACGGTGCGAAAGAAGCTCAACATACGCACAAGGGTGGGAGCTAATGCCCCCGTTGGCTGTCTGTGAGGCACAGCAGCAGCAGCACCTCTGTGGCTTTATGAATATATTTGTTTTCCAGTCTGCACGCCCTATTCCCCTGTGGCGGTGATGATGATGATGGGAAGTTCTCACCATTCACACAAAGTGTTGGATTTGAGGTTTTCATTTAAAAAAATCGGTAAGGTTTCTCACGTGAACAAAACGTGCGAAAGCCTCCGTGTTAAATTGTGGATTTGAATTATCTGGGCAGTAGGGTGGCGTAGCGGTGACGCTCCCGTCTCAAGGGCCCGAGTTCGATTCCCGACTGGGGGGCACCTCTCAGTGTGGAGTTTCTATATTCTCCCCGTGCTCGGCACGAGGTTTCCCTCCGTGCTCTCCTGTCCAAACCCCACATTGAGAGCGGAAACGAACCCTTGCAATGTCACCGGTATTGGCCTAAAACGTCCCGTGGCTGAAAAATGACCTGCAAATTACACAAAGCAGCAGCAGCAGCAACATCTCCACACTCCTGCAAATACTTGGCAAGAACACTCCTGAAAGAAGAAAAAAACCTCGTGAGGCTTTCCTGGATAAACAATTAAACTAGTAATATGATTAATATTCCAGCCATTGATTGACCAAAAACGGCTGTGCACGTTTGAGATGCAGCCACCGGCAAAATCAAATCCACCTCCGTTTGGGATTCCCAAATCGGAATTTCCCCGTCTCCCGCTCTGCTGCGAGCAGAATGTTTCACCGGCGCGTGGGAATTATTCTGGCCCAGGTGGTATATTACAAGGATTTGCCAAAGCTATCCCCACAAGCCCCTGATAATGAGGTCGTTTGGTTAATTTTAATTTCAGGCGTCGCAATGATTCCACACGGGGCTCTGTTTATAAATTGAGTCTGTTATAAATCGAAATCGGAATGGAGGATGTGGTTTACAACCAACTATTTTTTTTTCTCCCGTGGAATGTTTCGCATCAATTCTTGTTTTTTTCCTTTCTTCATTCTCCAAATCGTAACTCTTTCCCCCTCGGTGCGCCGTGTCTCACCGACGGAGAGATTTAAACGAAACAAAAAAGCGGAAAAAGTGCCCACGGATGCGTGGAGAGATAGATGCACAAAGAGAGGGGAGCGAGGATCGGTGGATCCGATGCGAATGACGCAACGCATCGTGGCGACTGCTAAAGTACACAGCCGAAGCTCAGCACGTGGAGTCGACACAACACTGTGGCTGTGTGATTGGGGCAATTGTTCCTTATTCATAGCACGTACGAAAGATGACGAGGAAGATGACGAAAAAGATGACGAAAAAGAAGACGAAGAAGATGACGAAAAAGATGATGACAAGGAAGAAGATGACGAGGAAGAAGATGACAACAAATGACGACAAAGATGACAAAGAAGATGACGAAAAAGATGACGAAGAAGATGACGAAAAAGAAGACGAAGAAGAAGATGACGAAGAAGAAGATGACGAAGAAGATGACGAAGAAGAAGATGACGAGGAAGAAGATGACGAAGAAGAAGACGAAGAAGAAGATGACGAAGAAGATGATGAAGAAGATGACGAAGAAGAAGATGACGAAGAAGATGACGAAAAAGAAGATGACGAGGAAGAAGATGACGAAAAAAATGACGAAGAAGATGACGAAGAAGATGACGAAGAAGATGACGAGGAAGAAGATGACGAAGAAGATGACGAAAAAAATGACGAAAAAGAAGATGACGAAAAAAATGACGAAAAAGAAGATGACAAAGAAGATGACGAACAAGATGACGAAGAAGATGACGAGGAAGAAGAGGAAGCGGCCATGTTTGCCTGGCATCACGACGTGTTACAAAAGAAGGTGGCTATGCACGTGACTGTTTGTAATCCACAGCGCTGTGGAGCCAGCAGTAGCGATGGTTGGTGGATCACCGCACACACAATTGTTGTGAATCTCCCCCTTCCCGTAGGCGTCGACGAGGTTCCGTATCCTGGCTCACCAGAGGGGGGATATGTTAACTCCCTCGCTCGGTATACAAGAGGTCGTGGGCTCGATCCAGACCGTGACCTCTGTATATTTGGAGTGTTCTCCCCGTAGTCGCGTGGATTTTTCTCCAGGTCTTCCGATTTTTCCATCCATATTTAGAAACGTGCGTTTCGAGTATTCGGCTGCTATACATTTCCACGTTAAAACCCACTTCGTTGAGATATCATTTGTGGACAGTTTGTTTCTGAAAAAAAATGTTACGTAGCTCAGTGGGCCTTGCATGGTGAAATAAAAAATAGTTTGCAGTTTTTTTTATTGTTAAAGACGGCACAGAAATATGTGAACCCCTCCACATGTTCCATCCGTATGGGATAGAGTGTTTCCCCCTCGCATGCGTGGGTTTTTTCTAGGTGCTCCGGCCTCCTCCCGCTTGCATGCACTCACATCATGAGGCCTCCTTTGCCAGTAGCAAAATATAATAAAAACCTATTATATGAAACCTATCATAATAGGGTTTTTACCCTTTTTTCTGGGAACAAAACTGAAACCTTTTTTTTACAAGGAATCATGTTTGCATTAACCACATATGGTGTTCACACCATATGAGACTAGGCTCTAAGGAAAGCTGTCTCTGGTGTGGACCAATCAATTTCAAGGACAATGCATACATTATCAGAGTGTTCTAGATTTGAAGCTTTCGTGACTGCAAAGATTCATATTCTTAGGTTTTTTTTTCGGTTAAGTCACGTAAGTAAAATATCAAAATAAAAATAAAATAAAAATAAAAATCACGACGTTTCGGAGGCAACACAAGTCTCCGTCATCAGGTGGGACCGTCACAGCCGAATTGATGCAGCTAATTCGGCTGTGACGGTCCCACCTGATGACGGAGACTTGTGTTGCCTCCGAAACGTCGTGATTTTTTATTTTTATTTTATTTTTATTTTGATGTTTTACTTACGTGACTTAACCGAAAAAAAACCTAAGAATATTATCAGAGTGTTTTTATTTTGCATTCTGACTGCAGGTCTTGTGGTTAATGCAAACATGATTCCTTGTAAAAAAAAGTTTCAGTTTTGTTGCCAGAAAAAAAGGTAAAAAACCTATTATCATTGCATGCACTCGTTTACATGTGGGAGGCAACAGCCCAAAAGGCGACGTTTCGGGCAACCGCCCTTGTTCACAGCACACGCTACGAAGAAGAAGGGCCATCGCCCAAAACGTCGCATTTTACGTGCATCATGGACCCAAAAGAACACAAATGAATGGCTTCCCGAGAAAGCTGGCGTTGAAAGAAAACCGTTAGAGGTGATTCAACCAAGGAAGAGAGCCTACGATGGTTCATGTCATGATAATTTTTTGTTTAACTTGTTTGGAAGAGCAGTATATTTGTGGATGACGATGATGGTCAGAAGGGGTGACGATTGGTGGATGGTGGATGACGATGATGGTCAGAAGGGGTGACGATGGGAGACAAAAGCGAACGTGCCAGAGAGGGCGACGCAAGCCACCACCCTCCCCTCCCCCCGCGAGGTTCGTGGCATGCCAGGAGGCGAGACAATCGTTGCAGGGGACAACACGGGGAGACCTCTTCATCCAGCAGTGGGTAGACCATGGCTCATGATGACGACGATGATGATGATGATGACGATGAGGAGGTGGAGGTTGTGAGCCGCGTGGTGGGAGCGAGGCAACACTCATACCGCCTTTAAGGAAGGACATTGGCCCGCTTTAGTTACGGGCGCGGTACGGAATCTTTAAATTATGCATTAAAACAGACTTTGCCTTCCCACACACACCACCACCCCCGCCCCTGTTCAGATGCAGTAAACCCAGAGAAAGCGACACGGACTGCTGCGCGCACACACACCGCCCATCCTGCCCTCGCCGGCTACACAGCGGCGGGATTGGGGGAGGGTAGGGAGCGGGGGCACAGTTGTGGAGGAGACCGAGCGGAGAACGCGGCGGGGGGGGGGGCTGTGGTGGTGGTGGGGGGGGGGTAGGAAGGGCGGTGATCTCAGAGGATGACGGCGGCGGGAGATGCGGTGCCGAGCCAGGAGGCTTGGCAAGGGAGCAGTCGGGCGTCAGCTATTGAGCGTGCCGGCGGTGCAACTGCGCCCGGGACCTGTTGGCTGGAGCGGGCCCAGGTGTCAAACTGCGAAGAAGGGGGGGGGGGGGCAGGGACAGCAGGAGGTGCAGGAGAAGGGATGAGTGGGGGGGGGGGGGTCAATTGCATTGCTGGCACCTGGGTTGATGACAAGGACTGCTTCACCACGCTTCGCTGGTAGGGGGGGCACCGGGTACGGGGGTTGTTGTTGCTGTTTTGTTGGCCTCAAAATTGATCCGTGAAGGCCACTCTGGGCATATTTGAATAGACGGTTTTAATTTTGCCACCTGGGTTTGATCACAGCCACTCGGAATCCGAGTGTGGGCGAAGAGGCGCGGGACTGTGCAAGACCGCACTTGGCGTGTGACGTTTAAAACGAACCAGTTTGAACTATAACCACCGTTACACAAACAAAGTGACTCAGTGTGTACAGCCGGTGCCAGATGGTAAGAGCTCATTTTCTAATCGAATCATCTCGTGATGCTGCTGATGCTGCTGCTGCTGCTGCGTTGGCAGTGGTGCACAAGCACAGTCAACAACAACAACAACTCAACGCACGTTAATAAACATCACCGTGTGGCCTGAAAAACAAATATACATTACAGGCGACGTTTCGTGCAATCGCCCTATGTGCGTTGTCCTAAAGGTTGCCTATTAGAGACGTTCCCTTTAAGGCCACACCGTGTTATTAACGAATGTGTTGATTTTTTAATATTCCTATCTGCACAGCCAACTCCGTGTGACATCACCTTCCCCCGCTCCTCTCGCCTGCCCTCCTACCATGCCCTCCCCTTCCTCTCTCCAAGCCCCGCAAAATACAAATTAATGCAAATCGTACGCAAATCAGATGCATTCAATCTGCTCCGTTCTATAATGTCACTATAGCATGTCAATTACCGCAGGGTGGCACGACGAGGAGAGAGAGAGGTAGGGTGGGTGTGAGTCGAACCGTGGGTTTGGACTAATGAAGGGCGCGCGGGGGGGGGGGGTGATGGGGTTGGGAGTGATGGGGTGGAGAGTGATGGGGTGGGGGTGATGGCGTGGGGGTGGTGGATGATGTGGGTTGGAGGGGGGGGGGTGAGAAGGAAGCGGGTGAGGCTGGAGGCTTCAGCGGGCAGGTACCGTAAATCCGCGCAACCACCACCACCACCATCCCCAAACGTGTTGGCCAATATCCGTGGGTGAGAGATTGAGCGAGGCACGACGCGAACACTCAACTCGCGCGCGGCCCCGGGGCGCGAGGGTCAACCCGCCCGTCCACAGGGCCGAAGAAATAAATGCGAGCGACACCCCCCTCCCCCCCACTTGCGCTCCGCGTGTCGATCTGCGCGTGGTCGCGTGCGGGAGAAAGCGGCGGTGTCGCGGTTCGCGCACTGCGCTACGAACCCGGCGAGCCGAGTTCGACTCGCGCTCGCGGCCAATACCGGCGACGGTTATCTGAGCACGGTCGTCGGCCTCCCCCTAGGTCGACTCGGCCTCAAATGAGTACCCTGGTGCGGTGTGCAGATAGCTAGGGACGTGGAACAGATGGGGCGCCATGGGGGGAGAGATTTTATCTTGATAGTTATTAAATCCTTTATATTAACTTCACTTACTTGCGCGCTTACGACCGTGCAAATCTTTCGGTCGTTTTTTAACCCACTTCCCGTGATCCAATCGAGCTGACATTTTCCACACAGACTCGTTGTGCGTGACAATTAATTTTCGTGAAATTTTTTGTTCCAAAATTTTACACTTTTTAGGAAAAAAAACCCGATATTTAATTACCAATTGCTTAATGGTGGCAGGCAATCATCTGACCCATAGGTGGCAGTCATTTCAAGCCAGAGGACGAGAAGATTCTAGCCGCCACGCATATAAAGGATTTATAGTGAAAAACTTTGTTTTTACGGGTTAATTTTTATTTATACTCGAAATATGTGTGTCGTCGGTGGTGCATTGGTTTGCGCATTCTCGCTATGAATCCGGCGACCTGAGTTTGTTTCCAGGGCACTGCTATGATCAGTGGCGAGTGATATCTGAACCGGTCCTGGGCCTCCCGTAGGTCGACTCAGCCACATTTGTGATACCTGGTGCCGATGTTTAAACATCGGTACAGGGGAGACAAAGGCGGCCGGGCGTGTTGTTGACTACCAACTCCCTCGTGTGCCGTGCAGGCCTTCATAGGTGCTCGCTAACAACACTTGCTATTTGGGAGATATTTGTCTTTGTGTGTGTGTTCATATGTGGGGAGCGGTGGCGCAGCGGTTAGCACGCTGCGCTCCAAAAGCCGGCGGGCCGTGATTCGCTTCCCGCTCACGGCCAGAGCCCTGGGAGCGGTTCGGGTCGTCGCCAGCAGCGCTGCCACGCCGCCACTCTCACTCACGTCCGTCCCTGGCCCTTCGTAGGCGCTCGCGAACACCGCTTGCCCCATCAGCCTGCGTAGGCGACGCGGGGCGACGTCGTTGTGTACGGTGCAGAGGCTAAGGCACTACAATCCCCGTGGCCTGAGTCGTGATGCCTGCACCGTGAACCTGGCCAGCTGAGTTCAATGCCCGGTAAGGAAACAGCTTTTGTCAGATTTGTTTATTTTTTGTCCATGATACTCAACCAAGCCGTGAATGACTTTACGTGGTGCAAGCTTGTCAACGTCATCAGCAATGGGGAGACAAAGGCGGTTGGGACATTCATGATCGTGGCCACAACACACCTGCCTTGCATGCCGTGCCGGAATTAATAATATGTGATCGCTAACAGAATTAAACGG